GTTGTGTGTGTTAGAGCCTACCCCTCCCTCCTACCTAGCAGAATTCAAGGATCTGGTGAAGGCCAACCCTGCTGTGGGCACTATGCCCCCCAGAGTTCCTAGTCTAGTCGGGAAGAGAGACAAATGTCCAAAGCAAGTGCACAGAACTCTGGAAATATCCCGAGCAAAAATGGTGTAGCGGATGACTTTCTCCAGCGCATTTTCTGTCTGCCCTACATCATTCATTGCCCTTTTTCACATCAATGTATAAATACACTGAAAAGTTTCCATCTTAAAAAAGAAACAAAACTCCAGTTACTCCTCATTTTCTACTTTACTTCAAAGTTGTCAGGAGTCTCCAGTCTCTTTCCTTTTTCGCTGGCATTTACTCCACTCAAGATTTTGACGTCACTGCTCCAAAACAACTGGTTGTAAAATTTGCCAGTGACCCCCACCCCAAGCTGCTACATAAGATGAACACTTCAGTCCTCTTCTTATCAATAGCACACAGTGCAGATCATTCCTGACTCCTTGAAACATCTCTTCCCTTCCCAGTCCCCACACTCCCCTGGGGCTTTCCTTTTACTCCTCTGCTCCTCCCTGGGTTCCTTTCTTGAATCAGTTTTTATGACCTACACTAATGCCATCAAGCTTGAAGTCATCAGCATGCCCCGCCAAGTCTTCTCCCTGAGAGTCATCAGAGACTCTAAAGGACACTATGTCATCTGGCCTCCTATCATCTTCCTGATCATGAGTCCTCCTCCCCTCCTACTCTGTTCCACCTTTCCTGGGGCATTTCCTGTTTTTGATGTGTGTCAGGAGTGCTCTTGCAGTATGGCCTTTCCATATGCTATTCCCTCTGCCTGGAAAACCCTTTCCCCATGTGGCTAATCCCTCACCATCTTCAGCACCTGACTCATCTTTTTGGCGCGGTCTTCCACCACTACCTCCCCTGCTCCCTCTCAGCACACACTTCTATTTCCCTTTGCTGCTTTAGATTTCTCTATAGCACTTACCATTGTATATGTATTTACCATTTTTTCCTTTTTTCAACTTTATCTCCTTGAACTGAAAAGTAAATGCCATAAAGGCAGGGGTTTTTGTGTCCTTTGTTCACTGTTAATCCTCAACAGCTAAAACAATATTTGCCAGAGTATACAACTAATAGCTTGACTGAGTGGATTAAATCCCTGGTTTCTAAGGGATGGTGATCAAGTTGAGGGAGATAACAGAGCACAAATATAATTAGGTGCCATTAAAAAAAAACTATAGAAGAAAAAGCACTGTCTCATATGTATATTTGAAATGACTTTTTACTACTAGGAATTGTGAGGCCAGGGAAAGACGTTTAGCAAACGGCTAAAGTGCTCCTAAAAGAATCAGATAAAGGGTGCCAGTGACACTCTTACGTATATACGGGGTCCAGCAGGAGTAACGCCTGCTTGAGTGTGGTTGGTAGGATAATAATATGGGTGTAATAATTTAGTTGTAATTTGAACATTTCACCTAAAATGTCATATGATGTGCTTGAGTATGATACTGTTGTTACAGAATTACATGCTTATGTTTTGTCATAGAAGATTTTCTAATTTTTCAAAAAGGGTGTTATTTGTGCCAGACCCTGAAAATAAATTCCCCCACTCCCATGTGTTCCTTGCAATTCCTTTTTTCATCACTCTGGAGATAAAATTGTGAAATGCTCACACAACGACCGTCATCATCACCCCTTACATACTTGGCCCCACAACTGTTAGTACTTCTCCAGATGTTCAATGCCTCTTAGTTTTTCTCCACAAGTTTAACTTTTTTCCCCTCTTGGTCTGACAGGGGGCTGGAGCAATAAGCAGCCAGCATACCTGCTGACTTATGAAATACGCAGGTTACAATGAGTGAGTAGTTGCTGGAACTGCATTCCTAAAATGAGGAAGCCTTGACCCAGTAATCTTTCAGTTTTATCTACTGATGCAGGAAAACATGGGACAATAAAGAGACTCAGATACTATCTCAATAACCAACCTTCAACACTCAAGGACGGCCCGTTCTGTATTACTGTATACATAGTACACTAGTTCCTCTAGTTCCCCTTCCCTAAGACACTTCTCTTAAATTTTTTCATGGGCCATCACTTTTCACATGTTCCTATTAGACTCCCCTAAAAGAATATGGTAAACAGACACATGTATTCCTTTGTGTCCTTTTCTCTTTTTAATAGAAAAGGAAAGAGGAAAAATAGATCAATTAGGAAGACAGTAACGGAAATTATGTAAATTTTGTAGGACAAAAAGCGTTTTGGTATATTTAAGGACTTTTTAGAGTCACTAAATTAAATCATTCTCCATTTTAAACATGTAGACATTAAAGATGGAAATAACCCACTGTTATTTCTCATATATTTAGTTAACAGGAATATATCCAGCACCTACCACGTATAAAGCACTGAATCAGTATGATGGGAAATTAGAGCAGGCACGACTGATATGCTTCACATGGCTCCTGAATAACCTTTTGCAGAAGACATCCCTAAGTTATTTCATTCATTCATTCAGCAAACATACATCATCTTAGATACTGGGCTGAGATAGACATGAGGAGTATAGAGATTATCTTCCAGGAGCTCACTGTCTAGAAATACGCGTAAGGTGTTAAACTGAACATAATAAAATGCTGAAGCGCGTGCCGGCGACGGTGAGTCACGCACCTGGTGTGCAGTGGTGCCCGCACGACTCCTCCCAGGGCACATGATCATAGTCAGAACGCTCCGGCGCAATGGGATGCTTGGTGCCACGACCACTCCTGAATACTTACAAAGTTGTATTTGGACTCTAATTTGTAAAATTTGCTCTTAATAGATGAGAAAAAGTCTGGGTTTTGAAATATTACAACTTATATCTACGGCAAAGTTGCAAGAAGAAAAAAGGCCCTGGTTTATAATATACCTTATTTTAGTAAAGTATAGTATAATACAGTATGGAGGAACACCTATGTAACCAGGAAGCAGATCTACATTTTTTCAGTAGAGAAGATTTTTAAGGGAATCTAGTCATTAAAAAAACCGTATGATGACTGGTTTTTACTTCAGTTCATTTGAAATTGTAGCCTGTTGCCTGAACGTGAAAGCAGACAAGCATAACAAATTTATAAGGTTAGAATCACCTGTTTGAGGGCTAACAGAGAATATGGAAAGAATCAAATTCAACTCTTTTGTTTCATAGATGAATAAACTGAAACTAAAAAAAAGTGTTTACTCAAGGCTACAAAGGTAGTTTGTACAAGGATCACAAATACTTTCAAGTAACCAATTCCCTCCATTCTGTCCCAGGTAAGGAGAGGACACAGCCCCCACAAGTACACAGAGCAGTCTGGTGGTAGGAATCGGGCTGATAGCAAATGAAGGAAGAACAATGACAGCACCCCAAACATCCTAACGTTCAGTAGGACGCAAGTTTCCAGCACAAAGGGAGAAATTTCCTGCTCCAGGGCAGTGATTTTCCACTGTTTTCACATGATGGCACACATAAACTACTAAAATCCTGTGGTACACCCCAAAATATATATTTTTGCCACTCTGACAAAAAAATAGGTTTAATTTTCATTCATTCACACTAGATGGTTATTGTTGTGTTGGCTTGTTGTCAATTTTTATTCAACAATCTAAGAGAAAAGAGGTCAGTACCCCTACTGAGTCAAGTATGGCATGTTTTAAAACTTCTTGTGGCACACCTGTTGAAAACCGCAGCTCTAGGATATGGAGCTGGAATTCCAGTACAATCAATACTGGGAGTGGGGAAAAAGGACTTCCTGCAGCTACCTACACAGAAAGCCTTGTGGCTTGCACAGAAGGTCCGCACTCTCAACACACTGACTTGAACTCCATCAGATTATTAGGCACCACTTAAAACAGTTAAAGCTTAGAGGTTTTCATGGGCCTAAGCCTAAATTTTCAAAATGCTACCTTTTGTTTGCTGCTCCTATGTAATATGGGAAGATATCTTAAGGGGAGAGTTTAAATAAAAAGTAGATATATAAGTACTTTTTACTCTGATTTAAGACTTCTATTGACACTCAAGTCAAAAGAAGACCAATATTCTTAGCAAGGATATATGCAACCATAAAGGTTTTACTTTACTTTTGAAGCAGTGTATTTTTATACTAATAATTGCACTCTACAAATTGTAAGATGGCATTCTATGTCCATATTTAGGACTAGAGAAAACATGTGCCTCATATTTCACAATCTTGGTTACATGACCAAAGAATAACCCTTATAATTACCACAGTCACAGGAGAAAAAAAGAGCATTTATATTGTTTACCATACCTGAATAATGCAAAGTAATTCTAACTCCTTTAAGAAATCCAATATTTAATAATTATAACTAGAAAGAATTTATAAAACCTGTGGAACTCTTAAAATGTGGTAGTTTTTCAACTGAGAAATAACGCCACATCTACACACTAATTCAGAGTTCTATGCCACCGTCAGGGCAGAAAGGGGTTTCTGCATTCAACTCTCTCTGGCTACTGGACCAGTGACACAACGGGAATGGTAATGCACCACACGACACAGAAATTCAAGACCAACATTAGAAGTAAACTAAAAAAATGCACCAACACACAGAAAAGCTACCAGATTAGTGTTTTTGACAATAACGCCCAGTGGTGGACAGAAATTGGGAAACAAAATGTTCCATAAGACAATACAGTATAAGACTCCTGAGTGAACCAGGATTTCATATGATTTTTACCTCATGTATCATATTATCAAAGTAGAGCTTTATATATATGTTTTTGAGCCCAATGGTTTAAAATCCAGTTTTGTATTTTTAACCTCATTATGTTCTCTCATTTAAACTTAAAAGAAAAAGCTCTACACATTTAATAACATTTCAAATGTTTTGTTTAATAATTCACTTATCTGTACTAGTCTTTAGTAGTATCTTTGTATCTGCATTTTTATTTCATCAACAGTCATCTCAGACACACCTTCTTACAAGATAGACTTAAAATATTACGACAGGAAACTATGCCTTCAGGAGCATGTTTATTGTGTTTGAGATGATACATCAGGTGCTCTCTGAGCTACAAAGGGTAAAAGGAAATCCTCTCATTACAAACTGACAAAGGTAAAAGGTAAAACATTTTTCACAACAGCATTAACCACATACTCAGAAATAGATCTGGGTTTAATACAAATGACATAATTCCTAGTCATCTACGGCTACTTTTATAACTTCATACAGATAATGAATTAGGCTAAAATGCACTATAATATTTGGTAGACTTCAGGACCAGTATCCTTAGTACATCACAAAATACATTTTGATATCCCAAAGAAGCAAGACTTGCAAGTAGGCATTTTAAACATAACTAATCTACAGCTACAAAGTTCTACTCTTGATAGCATTTACCTTTTTGGGGAGTCTCCCAGGCTCCAAAGGATAAAAGCAGAGAGTAGAATCAGTATAACATATACACAGAAGTCCGTATTGTAAAGGCTATAAAGATTTGCAGCACAGTGAGAAGATGCCTCTGCTCCTTCCCACTGCATACAAATTACGTGAATTATGTCGCGTATCTCTTGGTCCACTGTCTGGCTATCCTGTCATGTTCTGCTCTGTTGGTCAAATACTGAGTGGCTATGCTTCCAACCAGAGGATCCGCTGGAAAAGTGAAGGAATGATAAAAGATATTATATGTCTTAAAGGTACAGTTTTAACAGTTTATTCAAGTGAAACATGAATTTTTAGCAGCATCTTAATATTAATATTCAATTTTGTTAAAGGCTTTTTGAACTAAGACGTGAAGGTAGAGTTACTAAATGATTTTTGTAAAAGATACCTGCCTTTAATATACAAAATTTTTTTTTTTACTCGTGGCATTTTATTCAATAATGGAAGTGTACTAGATGGTATTTCTGCCTTCTTATGAAAAAACATTAAAATGCAATTTTAAAATAAAAACTCAGATCTAACAATACAATGATGTTCAAAATAAAATGTTTCCTTCATTCTATGGAAAAATGACTGAAATAACTATCTTTATCTCCATTTGAAAACTTGGCGTTTTTTAAAAATAGAATTCTGAACTGGAAATTCAATCTGGGATATATATTTCTATTACTCAGGAGTTTTTTCTTCTAGCAAAAGATTATCAGCTATTTGCCGCATTTCTATCCAGAGATACACACATGTACATGCATTTAGAATATATTGTTACACATACGTATTTTTTTCAGTGCCTTGCTTTTTTTATTTAAAAAAGTATGTTTAGTTTTTTCCTAAAATAAAAGACAAACTTTTCATTTCCATCAATACCTTCATCGATATTTTGAGTATACAGGCTATCTCCCACATGGTATAATGCTGATCATTCTTAATTAATGTCTCAGTTCGATCACTATCAACTTCAACTGGGCTATACCCGACAGTGGAGCATCATCCAGCAAGAAATCTCCAGCATGAAACTCTGCAAACCCCTTTAACATGTCTGATCAGTCACGGCACCTTCTCAATACACTGCACAAATCTTTTGTGTTTTAGCTGCATTTTTACATTTCTTGAAATAATAAAGCATAATATGCCAAAAAAAGTTGCATATTTTCTTCCAACTTCAATATTAAAATGGCTACACACAAATTCACCAATTTTTTTAAAAAATGTGCACTGATATGACAGCTGTCACAATACAATCTAACAAAACTGTTTCAAATGAATTTAAATACAACTAAGCACTACTAGAGCCATCTTACTGGGGTGGGGTGTATGAACTTTTTGGGCCAACCTAATAAGTGATGTTACAATATCTATCCATCCAACCATCCCTACATCCATCTTTGGTATATGTACAACTGCTGGGTTGAAAATAACAGTAATAGCCTCTGGTGATTAATCAAAGCTTTAGAAAAAATAAGTCAACTTCTTTTAAAAAGTGACCTCCTAGTAAGGTAACGTATGTAAAATGCTGTCTTAAACATCACTTTTTCAACTCAGCTACCCATGTTAAAGATAATGTGTGAAGTTATGCATTTCTTTAAATTGCTATAAATTCTGCACTAATGACTCTACCTCTAGGTATATATAATCATAACCTTGTCCAACTATCTCATCAGCTGCAACTTTTAGTATCCTCCACTATTAACTACAACCAATACAACTAACTATAATCCAAAAGAGGAAGAGAGAACAAGTTCTTCATCACTAAGTTAAAGCACAAGGCAGCATAAAAGAAAAAATGGAGGCACTGTGTCAAAGACACTGCTTTACTACTGTCAAAGTGGTTTGTACAATACAGAATTCAGAAAACAGCCTGTCAATGATAGGGAGAAAATAAGTATAGCGTAGCATTCCATCAACAAACTAAAGAGAAACTCACTGTGAAACTTTTGATCTATTCTAATTGAAATGGCATTGATAATTTCCTCGCAAAATATTTCACCCAATCTTTCCATCAACAGCACTTCTCAAAAGCACATTTCAGCTAACCAAGAAAATCCACTGGTTTCTACAGCTTCACTTAGGTTAATAAATATTTTCTTACCAGGGTTGCAGTCTGTCAAAAGAGAACAAATTGACAGCAAAACCTTTGAAATAGTCAAAGCAGGACTCCAGTTGTCTTTTAGGATGTCCAGACAGATGACTCCCTGACTGTTGATGTTGCAGTGATAGATTCTGGTGCGGAAAGTAACCTATGGGCAGTCACATTAAACACAGGAAGAAAATGAAATGCTTTCTTGGCAACTAAAACCTCACCAGCAAAAATGAAGGGTAAAACATCACAGATGACACTAAATAGCAAATAATTTAACTAAAGAGCTAATCAAATACTAGGTTTAAGTAATAACAAAATCAAATGGCTTTATTTAATTTGGTTAAAAGAATTTTCTGGTTTTTACCAGTACAGCAAGAACTGCAATGATTTTAAATCAAAGTGAGTAGCTGATTTAATTAGCTTAATCAAAATGAACGATACAGTCATTCTATGTTATGTACACACCATATATGCATGCATGTTGGGCACACAACACCCATTCTAAAGATGGAAAGTGAGGAAGAACAAAAATGTTTTGATGTCAAAGGTAAGACTTGGTAAAGAATTTTTTAAAGATAAAATAAAAGTTACAACAGTTTGTTGGAGAAAAGGTCAGTGTCAACTCAGCTAATTTCTGGCCACATGTCAGAAGATACTGAAGAACAATTTAGAGGAAGGTTGGTAAAATCACCAGCCTATTTCCTAGTCTTTTATTTCTACAACTGCCTCACTGTCTTGTTAAACAAGAAAATAAAAAAAAAAAAAACAAGGTTTTAAGCTACTGAATGAATAAAGGAAAAGAAATCTAGTATGTCCGAGATGTGAGAAAAAAGATGATAAATCATAGGAACAAATACTGTTAAGTTCAAAACAATCACAAATATTGAGTGGTTAGTTTTTAATTTGGAGTTGCAGGGGGAAAAAAAAGACAGTTTCTGAGCTCTTGGAAATAGCAGCGTACTGTGATCTCCCAAGTGCAGTGCAGGAAGAAAATATTAAAAGCCCTCAAAAGTATTTTTCTGGTAAGAATGCAAAACCCAAAACAAAAAAGGAGCCACTAGTGTAATAGGAAAGAAACCACTGGTCTTGCAGGAGTGAGGGGACAGCCGACCCTGCACATCTAGAACTGGTCTAAATACCACACATACTACATAGTTACACAGAGCTCTTAAACTATGGCTAAAGGGCTAAAAGTGTAAAATACACATCAGATTTCAAAGCCTTAATACCAAAAAGGGAATGTAAAATATAGCATTAATACTACTCTTATAGCCCTGGCTGGTGTAGCTCAGTGGATTGAGTGCAGGCCTGAGAACCAGAGGATCATGGTTCCATTCCCAGTCAGGGCACATGCCTGGGTTGCAGGCTAGTTCCCAAGCAGGGGACACATGAGAGGCAACCATACATTGATATTTCTCCCCCTCTCGCCTTCTCTTCCCTTCTAAAGATAAATAAATGAAAATAATTATCAAAAGAAAAAAATACTACTCTTATAGTGGTGACTGAAATGACAATATTTTCAATATACTGGGTTAATAAATTATTAAAATTAATAAATTGTTTCTACTCCTTTAACGTAGCTACTAAAAAATTTAAACTCATATGTGTAGCTTGCATTATATTTCTACTAGATAATTCTACTATAGAATATAGGAATAGTACATTCTAAGGTTTTGGCAGCTGACTATATGCATGGTTTACAAACACAATATAATTAATACTTTGAAGTTCAGCCACTTCATCTGAACTTCAAAAATAAGCAGCACTGTAGAGAAATAATTGTACCTAAACTAAGATAAAAGCAGAAGTCTTATTTCTTTTTCATTTGACCCACTGTAGATCTAAATAATGCTTCACAATACTGTGTAAGATAACCTTAGACAAGAGCAATTAACATTACAGGGTTAAAAAACTAAAATACCGAGACCGGCAAAAAAATTAACATGCTAAATTAATTTTAAAAGTCATTACATTAACCAAAACAATTATGATAAATCATATACAGAACTATAATTTGAAACCCTATGTTCGTCAATTTGTTTCCATTAAAAGATCCTAAGAAGTCTTTTCTATAACAGATTTTCCCTCATGTACAAATATAATTTGGTAAAAAGTAAATCTTGTAAATTTTTTCTGCTAATTTTGCTACCATGTTAAAACCACCTTTCCAACATGAAAAACAAGGCATGTAAAAGTATCACTAGTTATATAGTGATGAGCTATTTTGCTTATGCTTTATACAGAAAACCACTGATTGCAAATTGGTCAGTGATATACTGCCATTTAACATGTCATTTGAATGTGAATACTATTTGTGTTATTATTAACATGAGAGTTTTATCCTTTCATTTGAGCAAGACATAATCTATACCTGGGAGCACTAAGACAATCATTTAAAGATCTTAAATGTTTTTTTGGAATATGCATTACTTAAGAATTTTTTAAATTTTTCTAAAATATATTTTATTAATTATGCCATCACAGTTGTTCTATTTCCTCCCTTCATTTCCCTCCACCCTGCACACCCTTCCCCCACCATCCCCCCTTTAGTTTATGGCCATGTGTCTCAAGTTCTTTATATTCTATATTTCCCATACTATTCTTGCCCTCCCCCCTATCTATTTTCTACCTACTATTTATGCTACTTATTCTCTGTACCTTCTCCCCCCTTCTCCTTCTCCCACTCCCCTGTTGCTAACCCTCCATCTGATCTTCATTTCTATGTTTCACTCCTGATCTAGCTGTCCTCTTAGTCTGCTTTTGTTTTAGGTGTGGTTGTTAATAACTGTGAGTTTGCTGTCCTTTCACTGTTCATCTTTTTTATCTTCTTTTTCTTAGGTAAGTCCCTTTAACATTTCATATAATAAGGGCTTGGTAAAGATCTTAAATTCTGATGGGACCAAAGTAAAGTACTCTAAAAACTAATAGCTATATTTGAGAGGTGCTAGGGAGCCTTGGTAGGTGCAATATGAGGTAAATTCCACTAGGTGGAAATGTTGTTACCTTTTTAGATAATAAATATACTGTCTGGTTTTTTTCTTTTTTTGCAGGAATTAAATTGTTGCATATATTTTTACATAGTATTGAGAACAGAAGGAACTACACTGAAAAACAAAACACTTCATCATAGTTAATGGCTTGGTAACCAACTTTTCCCTTACATGTCATAAATCTTTGTAACTAAAGAATAATTATGTTTCTCGTCTCTAGGCCTTTTGGTTAAGATCAATTGAAGAATAATTATGCTCAGGCTTAGTATCTGTGGTTTTTACCAGCTAGCCTGACTATTTTATAATGAGAAGTCAAGAGGAGGACTATTTAAATAACCTACGTTTTAAGACTTAAAAAGAATTGCCATTCATTACAAAGCACAACTCAACTCTGTTATCATCTAATTCATATTCAGACACAACAAGGAGGCATTAAGTCACTTAGCAATCCTGACTCCCATTACTATATTCTACCTACAGAGAGGACAAAATAAATTTGTTAAATAGTATTAGTCTCTCTCTTTGCCATGTTTTTCTACATTTTCCTAATCTCTAAAGATAAGGTAAGATACTTAGCACAAAACTGAAGTTATCTGACCCTTATTTCTAGAAGCTGTCACACAGGTTTACTTTTTATGTTTCTAAGGAAGGTTCATAGGATATTTTTCCTCATATCTAAAACCAAAAATTCATCTGCTTTAATGATGTGCAGAGTGGTATACAAGGGGGGGTGGTGCTAAAAAATCCAGAATTATATTCTGGAGGGCAGGCCCTTTGTAGCACAGGCTTCCCCCACTAGGTGAGTGTTCTAGGAACCCATCTGCATCGGTGTGCCAGCTGGCGTTGTTGTGACAGGCTGTGTTTAGCTTCAGTGAGTTGTTTTTGAAGGTTCTTTCAACGTGTTCACCCATTTCATGACGGGTGGTTCATGAGTGCACCTGCCCACACCACACTGTGTGTTCAGCAATTTTTAAGCAAAGATGGCATGCCCCCATGCCTCACCCTCCCTATGCATCCGATCTCACACTGAGTGATTTTCTTTTGCTTCCTCAGATAAAAAAAAAAGTCCTCAAAAGGAAAAATTTTGACAATGTGGAACAGATGAAACAAAAGAACATCGGAAGCACTAAAAAGCATCAAAACCAACAAGTTCAAAAACTGTTTTGAGCAATGGAAAAATGTCTCAACTGGTGTATTCCATCAAATGAAGAGTAACTTGAAGGTGACTGAAGTTTAAAATGTAAGAATAAATACATACTTTTTTTAAATTCCAGGGTTTTTTGGGGGTCCTCTTAGTATTTTTATTTGCAATCAACAAACCCTCTTTTTCTGATTAGAGTTATTTGTAAAAGGTAGAAATCAATTACTTTCATAGTTTTAAACTTCTTGGTGCATGAGAATTTCCGTATCAATCCATCAAAAACAATGAAATTAAAATTATTACATCAATATATACTTAAATGCTAGAATAAACTGATTTTAGAGGAGAAGGATAGATATTAAAAAATGTACTTCTAAAATTCTTACCTTTGGTGGCTTAAATGGATAATCTGATGAAAATGTGATATCCAGAAAAAACACACCACCTTCATATACAGAACCTGGTGGACCAAGTATAGTTGATCTCCATTCATAAATGTTATCTCCTTTAGGCCCAGCACTATTTAAGAGAAATTAAACATCAATGTGTATATCTGTAAGCAATGAATTTTAACATCTTAAACCAATTAAATACTAAAGTTAAATTAGCAACCTAGAACAGTAAGAAACGAGCTATAACGAGAGCATGCATGTATATAAACTTATCTGGAAATATTTAAAACTTAGAGAAAAATCACAACAAAGAACTTCCATATAACTTTACCCAGATCTCCTTCTGTTACCATTCTGCCCCATTTGCTTGATCGCCCCTCCCTCTCTATGCATAGGTGCATTTATGTGAATACCCACACACTCACATATACACAAAGTGCTTTTCCTGAGCCTTTGAGAGTGAAGTTGAATCCATCATAAACCCTTCCCCATAAATACTTAGGTGTGCATTTCCTAAGCAACCTCCAATACAAGTGCAATACAGCCACAATTCAGTAAATATAATACTTAAAACCTATGATCTACAAAAAATTTTCAACTGATCCAGTAATGAATGCCTTAAAAAAAATTTACAGTTTTTCTCCAGATATAGCATTTAGTCTTGGGATCATCTATGTCCTGCACCTTCATAGGCTTAATACAAAAAAGCCTTTCAACCTTTTTTTTACTTTTATAACATTAACATTTTTTAATACAGTTCTTTTTTAAAAAAGAATGCTCAGCATTTTGAACTTGTCTGATGCTTCCTCAAAATTAGTTACAGGTGGTGCCTCAGTGGCCAGAGTACTACATAAGTGGTGATGTGTTCTTCTCAGGTATCACACTAGAGGCAGAGGGTATTCACCTGTCCCTAAATGGTGATGCTAATTTCATTGCCCAATCAAGTGCTGTCCAATATTCCTACTGCTTACTTAATACCTTTCCACTACAACTAAGAGGCAACCTTGGGACAAACAGTTTAAGAGTGTGCAAATATCCTGGACTTCATCATTTCTCCCCTAGATTTAAGATCCACTTGTGAGTCTTGGCGGAACTGAACTACTAAAATCACACTTACCAGCTGGCTCTTTAGCCCCATTTGTATGCATGTGTATACTACCAGTGAGATCTCATGGATTCCCATTGATTTCCTAATGCTGCTTTATAGTTCATTATAGCCTTTAATTATTTCGATGCTCAAATTACCCAGATTTGGCCAGTGCGAGCCTCTTCAAAATGGTCTCTATCATCTGGTGACAGCCCACCATCAGTTTCTTTGAACACTTCCTTACTCTCTAGGCTCCCTGCCTCGGCATCAGCCATTTCTTCGAGGATCCCTGGTTCCTTTCAGTGGGAAGGTTTTAGAAACCAAGGTCTGAGTGCTAGGTGCTACTAAATCCCAGGTACACTGCACTGTGTGCAGCTCATTTCATTTACAAAAGACAAATGAGCTAATTCAACTAAAATCTAAATTCGCGATTATTTGTCAGTTAAAGCCCATCTGATACTCCTTAAAATTCTTCAAATTTACCTTACAGACTTCCATTTTTCTGTAACCTTTAAATCATTAATTACCTTGACTTTCTAAGCTAATGTATTATATAAAGCTTTTCTTCTTTTAAAGTGATCAGTTTAGAAATGATCTGCAAGTTTGATATAAAATTAGTGCAAACTATCATTGATAAATCAACCACGATAATTACAACATTCAGTATAACTGAAAATGATTTCAAGTATATCTTACTAATTCTGTAAAACAAACTATAAACTGTAAACATAAGGTAAGTAACACTATCAATAATCAAACATGTGCTCTAAAAAAGTTTATATAGAAAGGGTGTAGAAAGCTTGACCATATAATCGAAACACAGGATGCTTCAAAAATCTATCTTTAAGGAAGTTATATATGACAAAGAAAATGTTATTCTTTAGGCCTATTTAGGGAAAATATATCTCTACTTCCTAAGTTTTAAGTGTCATAACAACTGGAACTAATTACAGTAATGGCACCTTCTGGCATCATTTGAGAATCAGTGTACCCCCTAACTAAATTTTCATTGTAACTAAAGATATACAAAACAGGGTACCAATTTTGTGGAGAAAAAAAGTTAAACCCGATTCACTGGCATTTCCTCTTCTCAGTCAACTTTTCCCTTAGTGACTAAAGATAACCATTATAAAATTAAATTAGTGCTAGAGACTTTTATAGGACAACTACTTTACTAAAATGTTTCTAAACTCTACATGTCATATAACAGTAATAGCAGCAGCAGCAGCAGCAGTAGCTGTAGTAATGTTAACTAAGGTTTACTTTATCCTTATTATAAGCTGGGCATTGTTCATAGCATCACGGTGTACAACTTGTTTAATCCTCCTTACAAATCTATGAAGTAGCTACTGTTATTCCTATTTTTGGGTGAGGAAACTAAGTTTTGGAGCATTAGATAACTTTCCATATGTCCCACAGCTACAAAATAACGCAGAGAGAATTTGGACAAAGTCTATGAACTAGTTTGTATTTTGGTTTTTCTTCATGTCCTCTTAAAATTTCAGTGCTGCTACATCAAATTCAATCTGCAGTCAAATTTTGCAAATAACTATTTATGTGAAAACTCAAGAAACCAAATTTCCTGAGTGATATTTTTTGGTCCTTTGTGGAACTATGTTTCGCTTCACATGGTTGAACAGAAATTAAGTTGTAGATTACTATATTTTAATGAATCACAGAATTTCAGACGGAAAAGGATTTGGTTGAGGGCAAACCCGACCCTTCATGCCTGAAGAAATCAAGGCACAGAAACTAAATGATCCATTTTAAATACCTTTTGCTAGATAGTAGAAGAGCTGAGATTCCTATACTAAACTCTTGGGTTTCTGAATTTCCATCCTTTTCATTTATCATGCTATTTTGCTACAGGATAAAAGATATTTATTACAGTGGAATATTAAATATAACTTTCCCTTTGCCATGGAGTAGACTGAGGAAGGCTGCAGCTTATAGTAGTGACTCCTTCACTGTTCAAAGGACATCTAGCTTAAGGTAAGTAAAGGCTAAAACCCAGCCCTGTGTTAGCTGTCTTACTTGGAATAAGCAGCTCTTTTTCCTCCTCACAAAGGTGTCATCTGCTAGTCATACATTTTTTTTTGTTTGTTTGTAAAGGAGGGATAGGGAAAGGATGGAGAGAAAGCATTAGGTATAGGAGTGATTCCATCCTAATTCAAACAAAGCATTTTACAGGCTAGTAGCTGATCTGCCAATGAGGCTTCACAGCTAGGTAGAAAATGGTGATAAATGCTGACAATCTCAAGATAGGTGCTATTTACAATGTTTTCAATCTCTTTCTTTCTTTTTTTTTTTATAAGCACAATCTCTTTCTTTCTTTTTTTTATTTACCAGCTATTCTAAACTCCATCCTGGATTATCTATTTTTACCTCTCTTGTGAACCACGCCCACAAGAACACCAAAGTGCCATTTCCTCAATGTTAGTAAAAACAAACCTCTATTCCTCTACCTCTTCCAGCTCCCACCTGAATGTCTCAACAAGCTTTTACTCCTCCCGTCACTTCATTGAACAGCTGTCATCCAAAGTCACAAATGACATCATCACTAGACCCAATGCTCACTTCTCAAATTGTTATCTTATTTGCCTGGTCCAGCAACATTTAACACAGTTGATCACTTCTTCCTCTTTGATACACTTTCTCATATTTTGTTGCTAGAATACCCTAATGGTTTTCCACCTAACTTTCCTAGCCTCTCCTTCTCAATCACTATTGTTCTTCCTTTTCTCCTTAACTTCTAAATATTGCTAGTTCTCAAGAGCTCAATTCTTGGACCTCTTTTCTTTTCTACCTACAACTTCTCTTTTGGTGAGCTCATGTACTTTTATGGCTTCTAATGGTGCCAATAAACTCTTAATTCCCAAATCTGTATCTCCAGCCTAGATTTTCTATCATGAATTCCAGACTAGACATCAAAATTCATACTCAACAGTCTTTCTATTTAATAACTATGAAAAGTGCCTCAAGTTTAACATGTCCCACATTGAGTTCCTCCTACAACCTTCCCTAATTTCATCTAATGGCTACTCCGGTCTTCCTTCCAGTTTGTTGGTATAAAAGCCTTAGGATCTAATCCTCAACAACATTCTTTCTACCCCACATCCAGTTCATCAGCAAATTTTATTGGGTTAATCTCCAAAACATACCTAAAATTCTAACATTCCCTACTCCTACCAGTCAATATTGATTCAAAACCACCAGCATTCTCTGCATGGCTAATTACAATGGCCTAGCTGTTTCCACCTTTGACCCTAGGGCCACCACAGTAGTCTTTTCTCAATATGACAACCAGACAGAATGATAGTTAAAAAGTAAATCAGATCGCATAACTCTGGTCAAAACCCTCCAAAGGCTAGCCTTCTTATTCTGTGTTAAAGTCTTATGACCCTACCCTGCACTACACAATTTGCCACTACAACCCCCACCATCTTTCTTATTTGTTCCTCTCTTACTGGTTCAACTAGTTGAGTAACCTGTTTCTCCAACACACAATGTACACTTTCACCTCAAGGCCTCTGTACCAGTTGTGTCTCTGTCTGAATGATGTTCTTCTTTGAGATATCTACATAGTTTCCTCCATCACGCATAATCCCCACATTTCACTTTCTACTTTTTCTCCATAGCATCTATCACTCTATAACATATTATATATCTTATCTATTTCTTCAGTATGGTACTTATTGTTTGTCCCCACTAGCCTATAAACTCTGTAAGGTTACAAGAAATGAACTGCGTTTTTACATCCTAAAAGTTGTAAGTACTTTAATAACTCTAACTGAAGAGTTGTGGGATGTGACTAAGAGAAGAAAGGGAGATTTTATAATGCAAGTTTAATGGGGAAGGGGAGAAGAAGAGAGAAGGGGAGGAAGAATGGAAAAAGGGAAAGGGAAGGAGACACACAGGAGAATGGGATGGAGGAGAGGAGAGGAAATAAAGCTTTTTCTTATATTCCCTTCATAAGAAAGGGTTCATTTATATAGCAGTTTACTTCATTCACACAGCAAAAGTAAAATTAATTCCAGTTA